ATGGGAGTGAACCTCTCAAGGTCTCTGGGTGGAGGAGCAGCTTCCTCCGCCCCTGGGAGGGTCTCTGGCTGGCCTCTGCTGGGCCTCCTCTTGAGGATGGGTGTGTGGCAGTGCCCCACCTCTTCTGCAGGCCTCCTGCTTTCTGCCCTGCCCTCCCTCTGCCCCAGGAGGGTGCCTGGCGGGGCACTCCACACCCTTGCTACCCAGAGGCTGCCGGAACACTTTTCTCCAAGGGAAACTGCAGCTGGGGAGGAGGCCCAGAGGTCTAGGGCCTCACTGTGCCCAGCATCATCTCACTGTGATCCCGGAGAGCCTCCAGGCTGAGGGATCCCCAAAACACACGGGTGAAGCACCCACAGGAGAGGTGGGGGGGCAATACCTATGCTCTGGTGATTTGCGGCACCCTCGATGCCTAGTTTTGCCTCTGTTGGGTGCAGTGCACCCTCCCAGCCCTCCTGCCCTCTGCCCACTGTGTGTGTGTGGGGGGGTGGCGGGGGCTGGGCCTCGGGGATATCAACTGCTGGCTGTCATAAGGGACTCTGGGCACTCTCCTGATCTCCCTTCAGAATCACAGGCTGAGACTGTCCAAGGTGGGGCAGCTCAGTGTGGGCCTGCAGCATCTCCCTCGGAACCTCAGGCTTTGGTGGGGACCGTGGGCCCCTGATGTCCACAGTCCCACTGAACCCCGCTGGGTCATAAGAAAGTCAGACTTCCACGCCTCCAGAAAGAGCTGAGAGAGGTCACATTCAATTGCTCAATTCCGTGAGAGAGAAACTGAGGCTGGGGCAGGGAAGACTGGCTAAGGCCACCAAAGCTAAGACTAGACACAGTCAGGCGTGACAATGAATCTGGATATGACCCTGAACTGGAGATTGGACCTGGATCTTGATCCCAGACCCAAAAGGTTGACCTGGACCAATTCCTAGCCCTTGAAACTTGAACTTGGACATGGAGATTGCCCTGGATACCACACTTGTACCTGTAACTTCAGACCCTGGTCTTGGACCTAGACTTGGGGCCTGGTCCTTGACCTAGAGTTGGACATAGACACAGGACCTGGACCTCAGATCTGGTTTGGGATACTGGACCGGATGTTGGATCTGGGCTTCTGACAGGTCTTTCATCTGGACCTTAGATCTGGACCAAGATGAAGATGCCAGGGACCTGGTGGTTATAGAGGACTTTGGTGGCTCTGCTGTGTGTCCTCAGGTGCCTCCCCAGCCTACTCTGGGTTACCCCTGCCAGGGGATTGGGGCAGCCCTTTTGCATCCCTGTTCCCCACGTGGACTTCCTCAGGTAATGTGCAGTAACCGGGGCTCCTCAGCTTGGCTCCCAGGCCTGGCCTGGAGCGACAACTTGGCGCCATCGAGGGGAGTGAGAGGCAGCCGGTGCTGGTGTGAAGTGGTCAGCGAGACAGACCCACGGTAGAAGCAGGAGCGCTCCTCGGCCTGCTGGGAGGCTTCCTGTGGCTGCAGAGGGCAGACAGCTGCGCTATTGGATTGGCATTGATCCTTCCTCTGCCTGGGTCAGGTGCGCTGAGAGGCTTTGGGGGTAGGGGAGAGCTGGGGTGCAGAAGGAGGGACCCTGACTCCCAGCTCGAGTTCAGAGTTCAGTGTGAGGGTGAGGCGGAAGTGGATGCTCTAGGAGACGTCCTTTTCAGGGGGTCGTGGAGACCACTGACACACAGTGTCATGAATGGCCGCCTTCTGGGGGTGGTGGAGGGCCCCACATCACCCTGGGGGGAGGGCTGGGCTGTGAGGAGGTTGGGCTTGGTGGAGGCGGAGGGAGGTGCTGTGGGGGTTAGGAGGATATGGGTTGCATCTCACAGGCAGACTGTGCTCAGAATCACCCAGGGGAAGAGAGAGGAAGCCAAGGGTCCTTGGGGGCAGGGGCAAGGGAGGAGCCCGAGAGGCAGGGAGACAGGAGGCCTTGCATTGGAGGGGACACGGACGGTGGATCTTGCCCCCCCTCCTCAGGAACTCTGCAGAGACCCAGAGCTTTCTCCACTGGGGGCACGTCCCTTCCTATTTTGAGGTTCTGTGGGTTTGGGGGCATCCCGGAGCCCAGGTACACCTGCGGTGCCTTCTGCCCGGCCAGGAGGCGGAGGCTGGGGAGGCGGAGCAGGGCGGGCCTCAGGGTGTGCGCGCCTGTGCGCCTGTGTGGGAGGAACCTCCAGGAATTCTCTAGCAATCCCGGGGACTCCTGGAGCTGGGGCACACCTCTTTAATTTGGGGTCCTGCATCTTTATCAGTTAGGGACCTGGGGTTCCTCTGACCTCCACTTTGACAGCTGCCCCCTACCCCCCCCCCCCCCAATCCCAGTCGGTTCTCCTCCCACCAGCCTCATCCTGACCCTGCAGCCAGAGCTGCAGGAAAGGCTGGTAAGAGGATCTTTCTAATAACTGGAACTATCTCCAGCCCCAGCCCCAGGCCCTCCCCCTCCCTCCTCCCCCTCCCTTCTCCCCTCCCCCTCCTCCCTCCGCTCCTCTCCCCCTCCTTTCTCCTTGTTTACCCAGCACACTTACACACGCTGGGAGAGAAAAAAACGTCGGCTCAGCAATTTTTCACACTTCCCTCAACCGCTCAGCAAGGTTATTTCCGGCAGAGCAGAGACAACAGGGCCACCAGGAGCCAGCGGGGTCTCCAAGGACCCCCAGGACCCCCACCCCCACCCAGCCATGGAGCGACGGGGGCCTCACTGCCCAGTCTGGCCACACCCCAGGAAGGGAGATGCCCCTGAAAGCAGGACGAGGCGGACCCTGTGTTTCCCGGTCTTACCTAGTCTTGAGCCCCCCACCCCCGCTCCCGCCCCCACACTGACTGTCCCTAGCAGACACAGCTGAGGCGGCCAGGTCAGAGTGCCTGTCCTCACTGTGGGCAGCCTGCTGAGACTAAGAAACTAAGAAAAATGCCGGGTTGCAGAAACTCTGCCACCCTCAGCCAGGGGCATATGTTCCCAGAGCCCCAAGGGAACCTGACAATGGCCTCCCAACGTTTGGTTAGGTCCTTGTCCAGGTGTCTATAGTGTCTCTCACAACCACACTTGACCTTCACAGAAGCTGAGCTCGTCAAAGTTGGAAGGATGTTTAGTGCATGACATCCAAACCCTTTCACTGCCGGGGAGGCTGAGAACCAGAAAAGGGAAGACACTTGCCCAAGGTCACACAGCAGGTGAGAGACCTAGAGTCCAGGCCCCCCGTGTTTCAGGCTAGGCTATCTGGCCAGTCTAAGGATTCCCCAGAGGCCAGTGAGTTGGTCTGGAGTCCTTTGGGGGAAAGGGGTTCAAAGATAAGGGGTTCTGGGGTGTCAAACCTGCTGGAATCTGCAGTTATACCACTGTCCCACCCTGATTCCTACACTCACTTGGGGGTTCCTTTCAAAACCTGTTTGGACTGAATTCAAGGCCAGGCATTCTCCAAGGAACAGCCCACAGTTTTGGCTCTGCGTGGGAAATTCTCTGAGCTTCTCTGGGTTTCCTCAGCTGGCATAGGGGTAGGACCAAGGGGACCTCAGTGGGAGGGATCCCGGAGCTTTGTGTCACCCCCTAAGGGATCCATATTCATCTTGCAGATATTTCCAATTCTCCCAGCTCCCTGTACATACTCCCCAGCCTTGGCATGGCCCCAGGTCCACCCTCTGTCCTACCAGCCTCAGCCCAGCCATGTCCCTCAGCTTCTGCCTGCCACCCCATGGAGCCCAGGGCCAAGAGAAGAGGAGAGTAGAATAAGGGGTGTGTGGCTAAAGAGAAGGGGGGTGTGTAGGGTAGCTGGGGGAGCCCAGGGGCTGGGGGGCTGAAGCTGTGTCCTTGATCACTCCCTAACTTCTTTGACCTTGGTGAGGTCACAAGGCCCTTTTCCCAGCACCCTCTCTCTACCTGGCTTGGCAAAGTGTGGGAACATGAGCAAAGTGCTTGGAATCCCGAGGCAGGGGGCCCCCACCCTCCAGGATGCCTGTCTTTGCCATCTCAGCATCCCTCATCCCTAGCCCTTTCTTCTCTCTCTCTCTCTCTCTCTCTCTCTCTCTCTCTCTCTCTCTCTCTCATACACACACATGCACATACACACACCCCCCAAAGCTGATGCCACACTTGATGTCAGATCTGTCACTACCAAAGTGACTCCTCCTCTCCAGACACCTGCCCTGGGGGGACCATCAGAGGGGAGGCCTTTTGTGATCCCCTTGATGGAGATGGGGGCCCACAGAAACAGTCTCCTCCCTAGCCTCCAGAGATCACCCCCTCTGCAGCCTGGATGACCTCTCTCATCTCCCAAACCCTTGTCCCTGCGGGAACTTGCTCTAAGAAGGGGTGGGGGTGGGGCAGGCAGCGTGGGAGGCTCACGGGGAGCAGCCGGGTTGGCTCTGGAGGGGGCAAGAAGCTGGCGATGGGGAAGGAGTGCAGCTCAGGGGACCAGGAACCACTTTGGGGGAACCCCTCCCAGAAATCCCCTCTTCTTTGCAGTCCCTAGGACAGCCCAGCCTTTGGCAGGCGTGTGGCTGAGGGTAACAAAAGAGTTATTTAGAGAGGGGGTCTGAGAGCCCTCGCCGGGCATCACCAGGGGGAGCAGGTTTGAAGGAAGGGGGTGCATCCAGCCACCCCCAGGGAGCCAACCCCACCGGGAGCGGGCAGCCAGCTGGCCTCCGTCCTCCCACGGGAGGGGGTGCCCTCAAACTGCCCTGTGCAGGAGCCCCCCAGCACCGGCCCTCCTGAGCTCCCTGTCTGTCCGCAGTCTCCCATCGGCCCCCTCACTCCAGCCCCGTTCCAGGGCCACAACTTTCAAAGTCCCGGCTGGCGCGTGGCTGTGGGATGGGCCGACCCTGTGACTTTCCCTTTGTACGACCTGGCCCCAGCCCCGCCCGCCCGGCCCTCGGCGAGTCCGGGAGGCGCTGGCGGCCGGAGCGATCTCCACCCGGGGTTCCCTGCCGCGCGCGCCCCTCCTCGCGTCCAAGTTGGGGAGGGCCGAGCTCCCTCGCCTCTCCCCGCCCCCGCCCGGTCCCACTCACCGTTGTCCCCGGGCGGCCCCCGGGCGCCGGGCAGCACGTAGGCAGTCTCCAAGGGGTGGTAGGTGGGGGCCGGCCCCCCGCTGCACTGGAAGCTGTCCCCTTTGATCTTCTTCACCAGGAAGGAGCGCGGCATGGCGCAACTGGCGGGGGGCTCGGCGGGGGGCACTGGCGCGGGCCCGGTGGGGGGAGGCGGCCAGCGGGCGCGATTGGCTGTCCGCGCGGGTTTCAGCACTGGACAGCTCCCGGCGGGCGGGCGGGCGGCGCTCGGAGCCGGCCCCGGTGGCGGCGGCCCCGGCTCGGCTCGGGCTCCCGCTCGGGCTCGGCGGCGGCGGCGTGCAGACAGGCGGTCGCTGGAGCTGTGCTCAGCACTCCGGCTGCCGGCTTTATATGGGACGCAGGCTGGAGGAGATCAGGTGGTCCCCTAGCAATGGAACTGTTCAGCGCTCTAATCCATCAAATGTCCCCCAGGACAATCGCTCCGCACACGTTCCCCCGAACCGGCGGCGGTGGGGGCAGGCCAGGCGCGGGGAACGGCGAGCAGGCAGGAGGGAGAAAGTGAGGGCGAGAAAGGCGCAGAGACGGAGAAAGGGGAGTGTGTGTGTGTGTGTGTGTGTGTGTGAGAGAGAGAGAGAGAGAGAGAGAGAGAGAGAGAGAGAGAAACATGCAGAGAAAGAGAGATGCACGCAGAGGGGCCAAGATAAGGACAAAAAGACACCAGCGACAAACAGGGAGAAGAAAGAGCCTGAGAAAGTGGCCGCACACACTCCCGCACCCACAGGAGGAAGGGAGATCCAGGCACACAAAAAGGGAGCCCCCCGGGAGGCAAAGAAAGGGAAAGAAAAGTGAGAGGGAGAAACTGAGGGGCGCAGAGGGGGAGCAGTCCTGAGCGGGCGGGGTCAGGAACATGGGGACACGGGGAAGGGGGCGCAAAGAAAAGAGTGAGTCCCCGGCAGCCGCCCTCCTGCCTGCAGTGTGCTCCCTCTGCCCCAGTTCTGAAGTGGCCAGTGTGGACCCCCAGTTTTAACTAGAGGAAGTCGCCCCACTCCCCGCTCGGGCGCCTGCTGGAGCCTCCTATTGGGTTTGGGGCTCAACTTTCTTCTCCCAGAACTGGTGGGGGGAGCGAGTCCCCCAGGCCGATGCTCAGCCCGTCCTGTTCCGGTGCCTCGCTCAGGCGAGCGCTGCCAGAGGAAGTGAAAATCGTCCAGTAATTAATTTCCCTGCTGCCGGGGGGTGGTGGTTTTGACACATCCGAGGCTGTGTCTTTCCCTGAAGCGGGGAGCAGACAATAGAGACACGTGGACTGGGAAGGGAGAGGGGGGAAGGGAGGGGGAGCGGGACTCCTGCTGGAACTCCGCAGGTCAGCTCCTTTGTCTCTGGAAGGATCTGAGAAGACCCCCCCCCACAATCCAAACCAAACCTAGGGGAGGGGGGGTGCCTTGGCAGGACTAAGGAGCAGGAGAACTCAGTCCCTTACCAGAGGATGCTGGGCAGAGCCCCAGGGTGGTGGGCCAGACTCACCAAGTGTGGGATGGTCAGTGCCCAAGAGTCCCAGAATCAGACTCTAGGGATGCCAGGCTCTCTCTGGTCGCCAGCATTCTGTTGATGGTGGCAAGGCTGATGGAGTAGGGATGTCCTTTGGGGACTGTGTCATCCAATACCAACTAGGAGTGTAAGACCCAGAGAGGGCAAGGAGGTGCCTGAGGTCACACAGTGAGTCAGCAGCAATTTCCAGAGACCTCAATGTCTTCTGGGCACCCCTGAATCAAGGACTTATCACAGTCTTTGAATGGTGGCTTAGAAATTTCAGAATCAATTTTGGACCCCTGATCTTACCAGGGCTCTGTAAAATCTGGGAGTCTCTGATCATCTTCCTAGTCATACTGTTTTGCCCCCTGGGGTTTTTTGTAACCTTGGTCACCAAGGGGTCCACAGCCCTGGACGCCTGGCACACCACTATATTCCCACTCCAGCCCCGGAGCCTGCTTCTGGTCCTTCCGCCTCTGCCTCCACACTATCCCCTTGAGGCCTGATCCTTCCCTCCCTGTTATCCCAGGAAACTCCTGATGGTCGCCAGGCCTTGGCTGAGGCAGGATTTCTGGCCAGGAGCTGTCCCTGCCTGCCTTCACCATAGACCAAGCCACCTTGCCCACCAGCCCCTGAGTTCCTGAGCAGGAGGACTCGGTCGTGTGTGTGCCTTGTGTGTGTGTGTACTGAGCTCTCCTGCCTACTAGCTCTGGAGCCTTGGGCAACTGCTCTGTGTGTTGGTCCCTCCGTTTATAAAATGGGAACAATACCTGTTGCTGCCTCCTTGGGGTCATTGGGAGGACTACAAGCGTTGCTGTGTACAAGGGACTTGGCATGTAGTAGGTGCTCAGTGCGCTGGGATTTCGTGTGTGACACTGCCCGCAGCATCCAGCATTCACCCATCCCGTGTTTGTGGGATTCTGTGAAATCAGAGTCAACTAGACAGCCCGGGCCCTGCGGCCTTGGAGCTGGCAACCCAGGGAGAGCGGATGGACACTAAGAAGGGAGAGGAAACACTCAGGCCTGTGCTGCTCTTCCCAGGGACCAGGCAGCGCTGTGAGGAACAGCCCAGGGCGAGATAAAGGAGGGTGGTGGCGCCTTCAGACGCGGCGCCGGCAAGTCTCCTGGGGGGAGGGCCACTTGAGCAGGCCACAGAGGAGCTCCAGGAGGAGTCTTCAAAGTTCAAAGGCAGGAATGAGCGTGGCCAGGTGAGGAATAGCCCGAGGTGGAAGGAGATGAGGCCCAGCGGCTGGCAGGCCGGAAGCGAGGGTGTCCACTGCACCCTGACTGAGTGGATGGGTGGGAGAGGGTGGTGGGGAGGTGCAGCCTACAACCCGGGGCCATTGTTGGAGAATAACTTTCTGCTCCTGCAGGAAGGTGGCTGCTTGGTTATTCGGTTGTTGACTGTTATTTATGGTGTAGCCATGTTTTTGTTTGGATTTTGTACCAAGCATTGAACCCAGGGGTGCTTTTACCACGGAGCCCCAACCCCAGCTCTTGTTTATACTTTATTTACAGACAGGGTCTCACTGAGTTGCTTTTAGGGCCTCGCTAAGTGGCTTAGGCTGGCTTTGAACTCGCCATCCTCCTGCCTCAGCCTCCCGAGCTGCTAGGATGACAGGCGTGTGCCCCTGCGCCCGGCATATTTTGGGTTTTGTGCTGGGTACTGTCCTCTACCAGGGCCTTCTCCACTGGGGATAAAGAAGACAGCTGCTGCCGGGGAGCTCACCTCTGCCCTCCTGAGGAAGACTTCAACTTGGAGGGGTGCACAATGGCTGCCATCGCCTCATCACTAGGTCACCAAAGAAGGGCCTTCTGTCCCCTGAGCCTCCCCCCCCCCCACATCAGCTTACGAGTTTCGGAAAGTCTTCTGTTTGAATTCATCTCTCCAAGTCACATCAAAGAAGGAAATAACTTTATTCCCAAGAAAGTTTGCTGCAGCCTCGGAAATTAGAACAAAACCCCAAGCTGCAGGAAGTGGGCAGAGGGTTGGGAAGAAAACATCCACTCGGTGGAATATTCCATCACTATTAAAATTATCATTAAAAGTTATCAAAAAGTTATTATTACAGGGCATAAAATCTCGTGGAATTATGTGCAGTGGAGGGTGAAGAACCCAGAAATCTCTTACAGCATGTCCCCAACTACAGACCAAAATAAAAAACAACATGCCCGGCAAAGTGGAGGGCTGGGGGCCGGGGAAGTAGCGCAGTTGGTAGAGTGCTTCCCCCATGCCCAAGGCCCTGGGTTCAAACCCCAGCACCCCACACACAAAAATAAAATAAAGTGAAGGGCTTGAGGACCGTGCAGGGGCCTCCTCCTCTTCTTTTTGTATTATCCCCAAAGTCTATAAAGTATTTCAGCTCAGCAAACACTTGCTCACTATCTATTTACTTCCCGATGAAAGAAATGATGAAGTTCAGTAAAAACGTGCAGGATACTCATGATCCCTTCTTCTGCCTTGGAGAAGACAGCCGGTGGCAACCATTAATGCTACACCAGGGACATGCCAAGCCACAGCTCCAGCCAGGCACTGTGCTAAGCACTGGTCTCTAGGAGAAGCTGGACTTGCCTTGGGCTTTTATTTTTTATTTTTGACAGTGGTGGGGAATCAAACCCAGGGGGGCTTAACCACTGAGCACATTCCCAGCCCTATTTTATATTTTACTCAGCGACAGGGTCTCACTGAGTTGCTTAGCGCCTCGCTAAGTTGCTGAGGCTGGCTTTGAACTTGCAATCCTCCTGCCTCAGCCTCCTGAGTCTCTGGTTGCCTGCCCGAGGCCTTAGTTCAAGGGACCTGGGCTTCATTTATTTTCAATTCAAATTCCTGCCCTAGCATGTCCCAGCTGTGTGATTCTCGGGCTCCAGTTTTCTCTTCTGTAAAGTGGGTGTCGACCTAGAGTCTGCCTCCCAAGCTTGCGGTAATGACTGGGTGGTGCTGTTGAGAATGTGGCCTGGCTCAGGGTGACGTGACTGGGTGACTCGCCGACTCTGATGATTATGCATCTCCACCCTTCTCGATGCCGTCCAGGGAGAAGGTTTTATTATCGGCCTGTTCTACAGACAAGGGGGAAGTGACCGGCTTCAGGCCTCTTGGTCACTGAGCAGAGGAGCCGGGGAGGGTCCCACATCCAGGCCCCCTGGCTGCCTCCTCGGGAGGTCCAGCCTCAGTAAGAGGGCCTAGCTGGGGGCTGCCCTACCCAGCCCGCTCTGGTACCCTCCAGATCTCAACCCTGCTCATCAGGAGGGAGGGCACCTCCCAGGATCTGGGTGTGAGTCTCAGGGCTGTGCGACCCTCTGTGGCCGGCAGAGCTGATCTGAGCCTCCCCTGCACGTGTGGAAGGAGAGGCTGGCGCCCCCTGCGCTTCTGAGGCTGCCTCTAGGGTGGGAGGAAGGAGCGCTGCTGGACCCAGGGACCCACCCCTGCCCGGCTGCGCTCCCTCTGCCCTCCTGCTGGGCCAGCTTCTTGTCTGCCGAGTGGGGAATGGGACCCGATGGTCCCTGAGCTGCTGTCCAGAGCTGATAATGGAATTCTGTACGAATTCCAAGGAGGAGAGTGGCCACAAATGCATCCGCTCCCGGCTGACGGGGCTCTTTCTCGGTAAGCCT